ATCACACTTCACATTAATGCGTTTTTATATGGAGGCAATAACATACTGGCTACAGTACATAATGACTAGAGTGTGAAAGCCATAGATACTGGATAGCCAACCATGTGCCAGAGCTTTTGCTGTCCCAATTTGGAGGAGGCAGGAGGGAGGATGTGTGTGTGTGTATGTGTGTGACTGTGTGGGTGTTTGAGGATAAATGCATGCACATGTGCATGAAGGGCACGGAGAAGGCAGCAGTCTCCCGAAAGAACACTTTATTTGGAAAGAGCCTCCCATGACCTGGCTTGATCTCGTCCCTTATTTCTTTGGTGGGGGTTGCGCACGACAATGTGTGTTTGTGTGTGAATGCTCAGTGCTGGGGATTTACAGATCTTTGAAATGGCTGTGCCCCTGAGGATAGCACTGCGCTCCCACCAGTGGCTCACAGTGCTAATCTGACTGACAGCTTGGTCCAGCTTTCAGCCAACAAAACAGCCCACTGGCAAGGTCCAAATACCTGACTGCTGAGGAATCTGATCTGCCATGAGATGACAGAGGAGAAGCTACTCACCCCTCTGTGTGCCTAAGCAAATGCTCAACCGCCTGCATCTCTCTCCCTTTCTACCACTTTTTCTCTCTGCTTGTTTGTCAGCACTACACTGCTAGACCTACACATCCTCGGACTCAGCTGGATATGACAGTTTGACAGGCTGTCACAGTTCTAAAACAGAAAGGCAGTGGGATGACACTGTCACGGTACCCTTCAGCAAGCATTTAGAAAAAAAACAAAACCTCTTTCAACTTTTGAACCTTCCAAGATTCATTTTTCAAAAACGCATTATTTGATATTTTTTGGTTTAAAGAACTAGTCATCAAAACCAGTATTTTAAAGGAAAGCACTTTATGACTTCACTTAAGGCTTGATCTGTTTGGACACTGGCGATAAGGCTTCTGTTACCGCACATATTCACCAATAAGGCAAAGCTACAAAAAAACCTCTGCCACGTCAGTTAAAAACACCCCCACAAGCCATCTGTCTTGTTTCTTTTCTCCTTCAGGGGCAAACTGAGAGCTTATTTAGCTAAGATGCCCACTCATCAATCAGCGAGGCTTTTCCATAAGCCATCCAGCACAGCTTGAACTGGAGGACCCTCATAATTGAATATTAAACCCCCGATGAGTAGCAAGGCAAACTGCGATGTTGACTGGAGGCTGTAGTGTTCTGTTGCCGTTGTGTTGGCAGAGATACCTGTGGTGCTGTTCAGTGTAGCGTCAGTTGCATCCTGCCTACCCGAGGTTATTCTGTCACACTGTCACAATTTCCATCTTTTGGATAAGAAAAGTGTCTACATACAAACATCCAAACTCGCACAGGGGACCACAGATGCAAGCAGGCATGAATCTATTTGGCACGCAAATATGTAAACACAGCTGGCTTTTACTCAGTAGGCAGCACTTGTAAGAAGGCTGCAGAAATTGCCTATTGTTCAGTTAAGACAAGAAGTAAACGTGGCTTTGACTGGTTTTATTTTGGTCTGTATTTACCGCAGCACGCTGAAGGAATCTCTACACAGCTCAAACAGAAGATCAGGGAGCAGCCCACGATTCTGCACTACAAATATAATTGTATTTCTATTAGACCTGAAAGCAAAATAATATTGTGAGATAAGGAGTGAAATCGCAGGGAAATTGCATTTTTCTGGTGTCTTGCCAATATAATCTGATGTATGAAATGGAGGAATGTCACAAAGGAAGGTACTCTTGAAAAGATCAAAAATCTGCTTTGCCTGTTATTATAAATTTGGATGTTTTTCAAAAGGAAAATCCTGTCAGCAATGGAGAGAGAAGCAGAAACCTCAGATTTTAGGTCTGTGTCGTGAAGTGTTAGATCAATGAAAACCAAGGTGTCTGGAGCGCTCCCACAAACATTTTACAGCACATTATCCATGTAGGTTTTCCAATGTATCTATAAGAATCGAGTTCACGTCTACAGATAATGGCATTCATTGTAGCGATATTACATTAACATCCTGAGAGTATAACCAGCGTTTAATTCATTTCTTAAGAGGCAATATACATGCTGGCTACTACAACACGCACAATTTGCCACAAAAATACACATAAATAAGCCACCACTTCACGAGAAAGCCTTTTTTCCATGGGAAGCTGGAGCCGCAATCCTCAAACGACTCTCCTGCTGTTAAGACAGACCCCGTGATAGCCAAGTGGACTCTTAAAGATATGGATTATTCAGACCCATTCAGGCATCAGTGTGTTGACAGACAGACAGACCTCAGTAAAAACATCCCCATGCTGTATATCCTTTCTGCCTAATTGCTCTATGGGGATAAGCTGACTTACATGCACAGAGAACCTCCCTATGCAAACAATGATTGTGAACAGTGACATTCAAGGACTGCAGCTGCTGCTGCTGCTGCAGACAAGCGCACAAAACTGGGATTCACCTATTTGCTATTTTCATTCGATTTTTCCCAAGCATCAAAGTTTAATAGAGTAAATCTCAGAGATACTGCAATATGCAAGCTTGCAAATTTTAGTCAAGACTTCAGTAATTATGGTATATGTGGGCTAATTACATCTCTTTTCATTTTAAAACTGCACCATGGCACGCCATCGGGATTAGCGAGATTAATAATGCTTTCATAATTGCACTTTTATATTATTGCTTCAGGTCAGGTAACATATTTTAAGCACCGATGAAGCACAGCACAAAAGAATGTAGACTTGTTTTCATTTATTTGGTTAGAAAAATGTGGGGAAAAACATCTTCATATTCATTTTATATAAAGTAATATCACAGATTCTTAAAAAAAAAAAGCATATTTGACAATATTTGATTTTCTGGCTAGTCCACAATTAGCTACTGGCTGCCAGCAGTAACAAACAGGTACACTACTGTACGGTTGGTATTTACATCTATTCTTGGAAATCGTGCAGCTGCAACCTCGACAGCGAACGCCAACCCTCTTTCACAGTTATAATCATCCCAGCACGTAGAAGCTGACTCCCTGTCTCTTTTACAGAAAAAGAAAAGCACCGCTATTGTCATCAGTATAACGTCTTAATAATTATCATCTGAGGGTGCAACTCGAGACTCGACTAAGACAAGGGGAGAGAAGCGCAGCGTGGATAGACTAGGAGAGCAAGCAGCACCCCGTGGATGCATGATGAACGAGGGTGTCAGTTGTGTTCACCCAACTAGCAGTGCAGTCTCTGAAACTGTCAGTCCCCATGCACTGAGACCTGTCTCATTAACCACAGTGATCATGCATTAACAAGACAGGCAGTAAGAGAGCAGGAAATAAATCATTTTTATAA